TGGCCCTTAAAAATATCTTCACTATGCCCCAGTCTCTAAAGTTAAAAACAAAACAAAACAAAAAAACAGATGTGTAAGGATCATATACAACAAATCCAGGAACGAGGTGGACTTAAGGGCATGAAGTCTGAATCCCCTATGCAATCCTGAATCTACACAGTTGAGATTCCAAAGCTTTAAAGTATTAAATCACTCAATGAATCATGCTAAAAATGTACTTGCTTGAAAAACGCATCAGCAGGGCCACCCAGAGGATTCAGGGGGCCTGGGGCAAAGCAATTTTGGGGGTCCCTTCCATAAAAAAAAGTTGCAATATTATAGAATACTATTTTCTTGTGGGGGCCCCTGCGGGGCCCGGGGCCAGGGGCACAACTCCCCCCCCCCCCCCCCCCCCCCCCCCCCGGGCGGCCCTGCGCATCAGCAAAGCTATTAGCAATGAAAGTATTTCAGAAGAGCAGAAAATAATATAATGCTGTTAAGGATTAAGGCCCAAATGTGCATATTTAGAAATCATTAAGGGTGCATCTCAGCCAGCAAAACTAGCACTTGTATTTCAGCAATTGTGCAGATGAAATTGCTATATAGACACAGAGCTTAGGCATTTTTACCAGTGTCAGGAAAACCTGCTCCGCCAGTGCAACTACACCATTGCTGGCAGCTCCTGAAATACAGGTACAGATTTTGCTCACATAAACAAGGCCTAAATACACAAGGTACATATTCCTACAGCTCCAAATAATGTTTAACTGGTTGTTTTGTCTGTTTGGAAAGATTTATGCATTGTAACAAAAGGACGTAGTTTACTTTTGGAAATAACTACATTTTACATTTTTTTAAATCAAGCCATTTGTTTCCCTACAGAATAACAATAAAATCTATTAGCACTGTCTTGGCCAATGTAATAACTGAAAAACAGTTCAAACGATTTAAACCATTTTTTCCTCTAAACAAACCAGTAGGCCTCTAGGCTAATAATGTGTGTGCCAAGTTTCAGACAGATCTCTTTTAAAACAATAGAACTTTAAACATTTGACCTCTCAAACCAGGATTTCAGACGAAAGCTTAACCTGCCCTTAATTAGAGTTGCATTACCACATCATTGGAATTTCATCATCGTAGGCTGTATAAAGCCTAGCTTGCCCCTCTTACATGTGCTAAATATAAATGTGCATGAACAGCAGAAGCATTTTTGTTTAATAGCTGAATCAGCTAAATAAGTGTGAGCTGAAATTTTTTTATCTGGCCATTTGGCTTGCCTAGTGAAGTCAGGATCAAACCTGATAGCCAAGGTTAAATTATAATTACATTTATCTCATTAATTTTAGATGTTGTCATATTGTGCCTTGTTTGAAAATCTAATTATTCTGCTTGTTACATTAGCAAATGTATTTTTATTGGTTTGGAAAGTAGGGAAAGCTTGTGCCAAACCATAATTTCACTTTAGTAGGGATCTAAACAAGCCATTTCTTTATATGCCTATATAAAATGGTTATTAACATTGAGTGCACTTTTCCAAACTGTATTAGATAAGATGGGATTATTGATTCTTGGAAAATATTCTTGTTCTGTGTATATTGTCATCCTGAATGCTATTTAGAAGTGTAACTGTTAGTGTCATTTTATATAGCTCTAAAGTTGCAAGAGACTCACTCAAACATTTCTTACTGAATTGTAATTTATCTATTTGTTAACCATGTATATTGACATATTGTAACATTAAGGGTGGACCCATACCAAATTCCCAGCTCTAACTGTCTCCAAATTTTGGAGGAATTCAGATCTAATCCAAACTTTTCAGCCAAACTGTGTGTGATCTTCTTTTCTTAGTCAAAGCTTTTGTTTTGGTAGTAAGATCTCAAGACATCTGAGTTCTTTCAGCCTATTTAGTAAGCAAAACGCAAAGGGCTCTTGCATCTGTGTGACTGTTAGAGCTATTCTACTACAGCTCTAGTCTTGTAACCTCCTTTCCTCCCCCCTTAGGATATCTCTTTATTTTCACTTCCTGTGGGTGTGACTCTTCTCTTCTTTCACTGATGAGGATAGAGGGAAATTAACCAGAGAGTTACTTCCCCAATCTGATTCTGCTGCTATTGGGGGACTATCACTCCCCTAATCAAGTACCCCAACAATTACTTGTGTTAGTCCTGGTGCATTGTGAACTCCCTTTCTTACAATTCCCTCTGAAATGGTGTCTTTATTTGCTTAATTGCTATTTATTCACTCTCTCTATTCATTTAATAGCTCTTTGAGTGGCCTCTACATATTTCCACTCATGGGATACGCTGGCCAGGTGTGGTTTAGACTGTGGAACTAGCAATTAAAATATCTAATGTGCCCCTCTCCTCACCATTTGTGAATGTTCTGAGGGCTAGGTTATAAAAAGAAAGTGTGGCACTCCAGCTGAACTCCCTCCCTTTCATTCTATCCCGTCCAGCTGACAATTCAGAAAATGCTCCAGGCATCAACCCAATCCTTCTCTTCAGTGCCTTTCAGACCAATACTTCAATAGGTTTTAGATAGAGTTTTGGTACATTTTAAAAAAATCTTAGTGTACTCTCCCTTATTAGGCAGAAAAAAGGGCCAAATAATTTCTAAATGGGTTTAATTATATATCCACGAAGTTTATAATTTAGCACCAGTCTCTCTCCCTCAAGGGATTAGAGCCCATTCCACTACAGCCAAAGCAGCATCTATGGATTTTTTAAAAAACATGCCCCACTCATTGAAATACCTTACAGATTCAATTTTACAAATGCCAGTCTTACAAAAGACAGTGACACAAACTATTTTGATGAAGAACAAGTCAATATCGCTTCACATTCCAATGCCTTCAGTGTATTGGAAATTGCTTTGCAGTGATTTGAAGGACAAGAAAGTGATGCAGTGCACCATATTGCAACTTATGCACCACATTTACTGTAATTTTGAGATGTTTAATTTTATGAACTTTTCCATTGTAAATTCCTCAATCCCTGATTAGTTTGTAAAACATGGCTATTACTATATGTAAGGCAGCAACCTTGGGTTCTATTCATACTTTCACTAGACATTATTCTCTAGACTTGGTATCCAAATCAAATGCTAGATTTGGCAGGGCAGTTCTGCAGTCTCTGTTTAATTAGGACTCCATATCCTTCCTTATGGGATAGTTTAGCAAACAGTAATCTCATGAGTGGGAATATGCAGAAGTCTCTCACTAGAGGAAGAAATGAAGGTTACTTACCTGTAACTGGAACTCTTTAAGATTTGCTGTGCGTATTCACATTCCCTACCCACCACCCTCTTCCTTGGAGTCCTAATTTCTAAATGGAACCTGACGGAGTGGTGGAAGGAACTGAGGTGGTTGGAGTTCTATGCCCCTTTTCATAACTTTGCACTCAGGATGTTTGCAAACATTGACGGGAGTAAGAAAGGGGGCAGAGGAGTGTTCCAACAATCATTGCTTAAGTTCCACTAAGCTGCATGCAGTCAGCACATCCCATGAGTGTGACTAGAGTCCATCTCAAACAACTCTGGTTATAGGTGAGTAATCTTGATATTTTAGTGAAAGCCTAAAATTTATGACTATGTGACTAAATTAAGCTTTTCTCCATATGAGTATCATGTTTTGTTATAAATTAATAGTAATATAAAATTTTACTAAAAAGGAAAGGTAAAAGCATTGGAGACTCTAATGAGGAAAGGAGGCAAACTGCAAATAACAAGGGAAAGCTGCAAAAATAGGGAAAAACAATAAAATGTTTTGGATGGGAGCGGAGGCAAGTGGAACATTGGGGAAACTCTGAAGAGCGTTCAGTCATCTTTCTGTCTCTCTCTTCAAAGCCACGCTCCTTTTTCCATTTCACTTCTTCCAGATGTTCTATTAGGACAGTAGTTCTCAAACTTTTGTACTGGCGACTCCTTTCACATAGCAAGACTCTGAGAGCGACCCCCCCCCCCCTTATAAATTAAAAACACTTTTTTATATATTTAACACCATTATAAATGCTGGATGCAAAGCAGGGTTTGGGGTAGAGGCTGACAGCTCGTGACCCCCCATGTAATAACCTTGTGACCCCCTGAGGGGTCCCAACCCCCAGTTTGAGAACCCCTGTATTAGGACTTTTAGTTGCAAACATTCAGTAATATGTAGTCAATTGGCATTGTGTGGTTAAATCCTTGTGTGCCTCTTTGAGGGACAAAATCTGACCCCACCACTGTGGCTGTGGAGAGATCTGATTATAATTTGGATAAGTGTTGTCCTGTTATACAAACGAACAGGGAGGAAGCCAGTACCCTGGCACAGGAGGCCTGAACAGCAGGGAGCTATGCTCCATGTGCACCCTTTGTACCCTAATGTGGAGGATAGAGTATGGGTGGATAGTTTATCTGTGACTGCATGGATCACTAATCATCACTCTCTTGTGCATGACTGGTACTCCCCCATGGGGGCTGTGATAGAGGCAGCAGAGTATGACAGGAGGGAGATGGTGACTCCTTCTCCCTCCCCTGATGTGCATGGCCTAATTATTCAACTATTTAAAACTTTTTGGCACAAATGTTTTGCAAGATTTTAAAATGGATGTAATATTTCTGTTGATATACTGTACACTGATGATCCATATCAGAGGCTGTTCAAGACAATCTTCCACCCTAAGCAAAATGTCAGTGTGCTGTCCCCTGTGCCACTCAAATTTGGCCCAGTTGCCCCTGCATCCTGACAGAGGGGTGGCCATGCCAAATCTACTGCCCTTGGCAGCTGCCTAGTTCTCCTGTACATAGAGTAGCCTCTGATCCAGATTATGTATCCATGCAGAAGCATCTGCTCCTATTTATTAGTGTCCAGTTGGAGATTATCCCCCTAATCATACAGTGTCCAGGTGTGCATTTTGTTGGCTCAGTGAAGCTGTAGATAAAGCATAAAGGGCCAGTAATACTCAGCTGTAGCCATGATATTTAGGTGATCGTTCATCAGAGTAGCAAGACTTCCCACTATATCTGCTGCCATCCAGCGGAAAATAATGGCTCAGAAAACTGTACTCATCACAGGTTGCTCCTCGGGAATCGGACTGGCCTTGGCTGTAAAAATGGCCAGAGATGAACAGAAAAGATTTAAAGGTAATATTTCTGAAATTAAATATCACACAGTACTGCATCTTCCATGTTGTTAGTCACTTTCATTTTGTGGTGTGACAGAGTGGACTGTACTAAGTGCTGGGTGTCTCACCATGTGATGGATAGATTTTCATCAGTCTGTACCTGAATTCTGTTCAGCTTCCCTGCTCCTCCATTCTTATTAATTCTCCCTTTCCTGACAGGAAGATATTATGCAATCAAATGTACTAATTTCTATGAACAGATGGTGATTCTGTGACTGTACTGAAATGAAATGTTTATCTGAAATTAACATGATAAATGTGGCAGTGGTATAAAAAGGGAAACTTTTTAAATTAAAAAAACAATGATGCATTTGCAGCACGCTAAATAAACACAGCTTTTTACAGGTTAGTCCTCTCAGCTGCAGCTAGCTTTACTTGGCACTTAGCAAAGTCTTGTTGGTGTAAATGCAATTGCTAATTTTAGGAGGAAAAAACATTGTGTCTGGGAGCCCCTAATTAAATTAGCAATTTGTTTCTGAGAGGCAGGATTCAGTATTTCTTCCTTGCATTTACTCCCATGAGGGAGGAGAGGGAAAACTTGGTTCCACTGTCTGCCTTACAAAATGGAAATATTTGCTGCAATTGTGTGTAGCTGACTAAATGAATTTAGCAATTCAGATCAGGTTTACTCTCAGCAAGTGTCTTACCAGGGAATGATTGTATGGATTTATGGAAGTTAGAGTAATTAGGCCACAATAATATTAAAGCTGATCTATACATTAATAAATATCTTGCAAAATCCAACAATTTTGCAGTCTGAGGAATCATTTGTTTCACTTCCATGTAAAATTCTGGCTGCTTTTCTAAACACACTGGCTGTGATTTTCAAAAATGGGTGCCTAAAGATAGGCTTCTAACTCATTATTTAGGTGCCTAAATGTGGACTTAGGAGCCTAACTTTGGCACCCGTTATTGAAAATCTTGGGCTTAGTTTTTCTACCGTATCTTCCCTAACTGATATAGAAATAAAAACACATAGCTATGAACATGGCTGTATAAATGGTTTATTTCTCCATTCGCTCTTTCCCAAAATCTGATTTAAGAAAGTTAGAAGCACTATAAAAAAAATTTAAATACATACTCTCTGTTTTAGGTTATCAAGGCCCTATCACCAAAATATCTAAGCACTAAAATATGGACTTAAAGGTTGTATGCACTGTAACTTGTGTCTGCTGTCATTCTCAAAGGAAAAGCTTTCTCTACAGTTACATTTCTGGTTACTTATTTATGATTTTTTACAGTGTATGCTACCATGAGGAATCTGACCAGGAAGGACAAACTTGCAGAAGCTGCAGGCAGAACCTTGGGTAAAACCCTGGAAATTAAACAACTGGATGTCTGCAGTGAAGAGTCTATTAAAACATGCGTCAGTAGCATCCCTGACAGAAGGATTGATATCCTAGGCAAGTAATGAACACAAATGAAAGATGGACGAAAAGTCAGGATACAAGATTTAATTTAAGGATCCTTTTAAATATTTCAGAGATGTTTCAGTAATATTATTTCTAAAAATGTTTATGGATTTAAGTATAAATATATGAATAAAACCAATATAACTGTACACTTCTACAGTATAAAGTCTTCCATTCAAGGTTCTCAAGCCATTTTACAAATACTAATTAATTGAATTCAGGCACAAAGAGATCAAATGACTTCTACAAAATCACACAATATGTCTGTGGCAAGGTTGAGAACAGAACTTGGATCTCCTGACTCTCCATACTGCACTTGAGACCTAAGACCACCTCTACCCTCTGAACACAGTAGACCCCTATTTATTTACACTAACAATAGGATGATCCTTTGTGAATTAGCAAGTAAGTGAATGAATAATTAAGAGAGACTGCACATGGTTAATTTCTAATAAGTTATAGTTTCATTTTATTTGATACTTTGCTAGTAAATTATCTAATATATTTTGTAAAAATAAATATAACATATGGCAACTAACTACACCCTCAGATTTTAAATCTTGGCTAAGAGGAAGTAGAGCCTGCCTTTTTGGGGGAGATGATGGGGGAGCAGCAGAACAGCAAGGTGCAGATTAACATGATTTTCTGCAAATTGCACTATGCTCCAATTTGACATTCCACTTCTTACTACGGAGTGCTCATATTATGGCATGACCATTCTGCATTTCTGAAACCACAAGCACTCAAATGGAATCTTCTCTTGACCACCACATAGTGGCAAAGTTCTCAACCGATGCCAGTTCATTTAAAAAAAAAAAAAAAAGAAACTGACATTATGAGGCGCTAAACACAAAGTAGACCAAAAATATCAAACAAACATACTAAGGCCTGATCCAATACCCAGTGAAGTAAACTGAGACTCTGTTTGACTTGATTGGGCCCCTAATTCTTAATACTGAATAAGCAAATATAGAGAAGTTTTTGCTCATTTTTCCCCTTACCCTTTCCTGATTTAAAGAAAAAAAGTAAGGCATAAATCAGAAATAAACAAGAAAAACTTCAGAATAGCAGATATTTTAAAATGTATTAGAGCAAAAGCAAAGACATTCCATGTCAAATGTAATCTCAAGGTTTCACTAAGAAGCTGAATAACTAATTGCTCTTGTGTGTTTTAATCCCTTATTCCAGTCACTCATTTTTACCACCATGTGTTTTCCAGTGAAAGTGCCAAGTTAATGTTTATTGCAGTTACTACTCACTACTGTGTTTTGCATCTGTACAGTTAGCAATGCTGGAATGGGGCTCATTGGACCTATTGAATGCCAGACCATAGATGAGATGAGAACTGTGATGGATACAAACTTCTTTGGATTGGTTCGACTCTTGAAGGAGATTTTACCTGATATGAAGAAGAGGAAGAGTGGACATATAGTTATAATAAGTAGTGTCATGGGAATACAAGGCAAAGTATTATTATGTACTAATTTATTCATAATTTAAAGCTCGCATTTTTCTGAACTGAAAAATGTAAGCAATCTAGTATATTAAGCTATTGTTTCCAGTTTACAAACATGGGCTTCGGTTCTACATTCTTACTCACGCTGAGTAATACATTATGTCAGTACTCTCATTAATTTTAATGGGACAACTTGCAGAGTAAAGTACTACTGCTTGTGAGTAAGGCTGGCAGATTTAGGACCATAACAACTATGTTTGAGTTTTCTGGAAAGTAGCATTTTGCTCTTTTCACAAAGTAAGTTCATAGGAAACTTGTCTCTGTGTCTCGCTTGAAGGGACTACGGAGGAAAGACCAACACATTTTAATACACTTTTTTATGCACAGATATTTTGTGAAACTAGCTTTATAAAAAGCTCTGCCTTAAAAAGATTTAGTACATATGCAGTCTGTTAGTAATTCACATATTTGACACAGGAAAGTATTCCAAGCAGTATATACAAAGTTGGTCTTCCAACACTGCTCTCTCTCTCTGCCCCCCCCCAAAAAAAAAAACAAAAACCCAGAACAAGAAGATGGAATCAACACTTCCACACTGAAATACTCTCTGATTGTTTGATCAGTGGGTCCTTTCCCACTTCCATTGGAGTCCTCCAAGTCCTCCATATCCCAGACTGTCAAATCAGTACTTTCTTTCTGTAAGGCTTTCCCTCATACTAGGTATCCTGGTGTTGCCACTAACCCCCAAGGGGGAGCCATCAAATGGACCTCACTTTAGAGCCAGATAATATTGCTTTTAATTTGGTGCTCCACCCTACATAATCTTACTTGTATGCGTAGTCTCAATAACTTTAATGTGCCTCTCACCTATGGATTATTCATGTGAGTGGGCAGTTGTAGGGTCAAGACCTTGGCTACTAAGAGTTGCTAATGAGCAACATGATGCTCACCATCCGTCTTAGAGGGTTGTATATTGCCTCCTTCGAGTCATCAAGAAGTTTAAAACCAAATCTTTTCAATCTTATATCTCTTGGATGCATTGCAACACAGCTGCCATGCCAAATGATAGATTGTATTACACATATAGATCGCTGTATTAGACCACAAAATATCTAACATAAATACCATGTGCGAGAGTCTCAGCTATGGCCAAGGAACAGCTCGAAGGCTGCTCTAACCTGCGCCAGTTGCCAATGGCACCTAGGGATCATAATAGCCAGGGTGCAAAGGAGACAATCACTGCTCAGCAGGTATCCCCCCCACCCCCGCCCCAAAAAAAAAGGTTTGGTCACCCCAGTGCATTTAGTAGGAGTGTTTTTAACATCTTCATAACTTGAATTAGCCCAACATAAATCATGATGATTTTTTTTCATGCTCTCATAACCACAAACAGCTTATACATTTTTTTAGGAAATATAAGCCACTCAAAAACTTAAAATGATCTTAACATGATCTGTAACAATTTTGTTTTTGCCTTCAGGTATTTTGTTCAATGATGTTTATGCTGCATCTAAATTTGCTGTGGAAGGATTCTGTGAAAGTTTAGCCATACAAGCACTCAAGTTTAAACTTCAGTAAGTGTTGACCCAAAGGTGTGGGCTACATATCAGACTGTGCTTTAAAATATATCTTGAGCTAGAAGTAGTAGTACAGCCATTATATTGCAGGCTACTGTCCCGGAGAAAGAGGATGAAGAATTTTTCCTCTTGAATTGAAGCTATACATTCACAAGAAGCCACTGAAACCTTCTTATAGAAGTTCCCTTGCCCTCCCCACCAAAGTAGTGCAAATGTTTAAATGACAAAATAAACATGACCTACAGCATTCAGACTAGGAGTAAGTTTAGCTTTGAAAAAATATGTATAGCTTTCATATACATCCCTGGAGATCTGGACTCTCATCTACAGTACTGTGGGGATGTGGTCATGTAATATGTGTACCTCAAAGAGAATGTGTTCTCTAATCTGTAGTACCCAGATACATTAGTGAGAATGATCAATAATGACTTTCATTATAATGATTATTGGAGACATTTATATAACAACATAGTGGTATGTAGCACTTTCAATAGTGAATAAAAACATGGGCCTTGCCTCAAAGAGTTTGCAATGGAAATCAAGCAAAGCAAGACAGAAAGAGGAGATGCCTACAGTCTAAGTGAATAGAGCGTGAGCAGGAGGGATGCACAAAATAAGATTGTGAGGTAGTTTACATGGTAGTTCATAACTTTTGTATATCATTACTTACAATTTAATTTTATTAGTTTTTAATGAGAATTTATTAGAGAATTACTGTATGTGTAAATAGGTGGGCTCTGAGAAGGGGTTTAAAGGAGATAAGAAATGTTTGTGGCATAGAGGGTTAGAGGGCATTCGAGGCCTAGGAGGCAGCATGGAAGAAGGAAGAAGAAAAAGGTTGCATGGAGAAATGTGAAATTGGCTAGTGACCAGTGATAACGTAAGCAGGGGCAGCATTGTGCAGAAGTTTTAATTTGAAGTTCTGCTTAAAAATCAGTAGCGTGGTATAGCCCTTAGGAATAAGGGGCAAAGTACAGATATTCATTAACTGTCTAACCCAGCCACAGAACTGGCCAGAAATCTGCTATACAAAAACCTTGTTCAATAGATAACTACGGTTGTAACCAGGAAGGACGTGGCATACTTAAAACTTGAGAATGGAGCTGGAGAAGGAACTGGTGCAGGGACCTTAAGTATTTCTAAGCTTTACTATTATGCACTTCTGGGCAAATCCTGCTCCTCCTCCGTAGGTCCAGCGAGCTCAACAGCAGCATAAGTCTGGGAAGCTGGACTTTCTGCCTAAGCATTTATACTGTACTTTGTGGGTACCACAGAATAAGAGTGCCTTCCAGAATTATATACACCCAAGAGGTAACCAAAGAGATCTCTCTCTCTTTCTTTTAAATACTTCTACTATTATTACTAGGTAGGAGAGATGGCAAGGAGATCCATCTAGCACTTCATCCAGAAGGCAGTGAGGTTTATGATAATTTTTAAGTCTTGTTGCAGAGATCCACAGCTGTGAGCCAGCAGCTGAGAGGGCTTTGTCTCCTGCTTCCACTTGTCATAGACTGATAGTTCCATTGCTCCCCAGCAGTGCAGCCAGTGTTCTTCTCCCACGGAAACCCCCAGTGCCTGTCTGAGATACTCAGGGCAAGAGCTGTGGTATGGATCTCTCCCTTAACATTTTTTAAATAATAAATTCTTTAACAAGTGCTCATTTATTTGCAGCCACTCACTACCTATACAAAGGATAGCTTTACACATTTCACATATAGGAGGACAGATCACCCATATGTTATTGTTCTTGTAACAGGCTAAGTCTGATTGAGCCAGGCCCAGTGATCACAGAATTTGAAAAAAAGGTGTTTGAAGATGGAATGAAAATGGATCTTTCGGCTGCTGATGAAGAAACTGCTGACATGTTTACTAATATTTACCTTAAAAATTACAAACAGATTTTCCAAAGCCTGGGACAGAGTGCAGAGGACATAGCAGAGGTAATTAGTCAAATTATTTTGTGCAGTCTTAGAATGCTCTGTTTGATTGTCGACCCACTAGACTTCATTAAGCACAACCTCAAGAAATTAACTGGATCTAGAATTTAGAAAGAACATGAAGTTCTCCCAGTTTTAAAAGGCAACTGTGACTTTTAATCTGTAATACCATTGAGTGGATAGTTGCAATGTGATCTAACTACCCAGTGAAGTCAGAATGACACTAATGTGCACGGTCACCAGAAATCTAGATGGGTTACTACCATTGTTTATGGCCCCTCTCTTGCTCAGATTCCACTAGTGCAAACCGCTACACCCATGTGAAGTCCAGCAGACTATCCCAGGAACCAACAACAGAAATGCACCAGCAGGTCACAGCAGAACATAGCTGGAGGCAATCTCTGATATTTGAGGGTTTATAGACCACAACCAACACCATGAACTGCTTCTAGAAGCAAATAGGTAGACAACATAGAGTATGGAACATCAGTCTTATAGACTTACATCTCAAATTTAAGCTGTTGCATTGTGCCAGCTGACATGCTCTTCAAAAGTAGGCCAGAGTAGTACTCTAGGGTAAATGAATGCTTGAGGTTACAAAGGCCTGAATCACTGTGGAGAGGTGGAAATACAGGAAAGTTTGCAGCCTTCAGATCAACCCTAAGTTAAAAATGACAGTGTGTGATTGAGGGCATCTTGGAATCTAAGAGCAGAAATGGATTCTAAACGTTTACGAGCAGCATTAGTGAAGGTCAGACACACAGTCCACCTCCAATATACGAAATACTAGCTAAGGCCCTGATCCTGCAACTGGTTTTGTGCACACAGATTTGTATGCATTTACACAGCCATATTCACTTCAATAAGACTCTGCCTTGGCATAAGGATCTGCCTGTGCGGGATCCGGAAACCTACATGGAGTCCCAGTGATTTTGTTTGTGTCTTACCTTAGACCTATAGGGTGTGATTCTTAACACCCTCAGCATTGACATAACACTGCTCCCACTGAAGTTAATGAGAGCTTTACCGCTGACTTCAATGGGAGCAAAGTTAGGCCAACACTGAGCACTTTTGAAAATCCCACACAATATATTTTTTTAATTTGTATTTGATTTAAATAGTGTCAGGTTCCTGACTCTCATGTTGTTTGTAAACTGGTAAATATGAAACATCCTGATTCACACATTTGATACCATATCTGAGAATTCAGACTTGTTCTGTATTTAATATTTTATTTTTAAGAATTCCACATTTAATCACTTTCTGAATGATCAAGCTCTTTAGCAGCTTTTATTTACAGCAATATACAGTTGGAAAACTTAGATGCATGCAATTAATTCTTCCAGATAAGTGAGTGCAGCTAGAACTTTACAAATTTAAAATTTTTATTAAGATGTTAAAAAAAAATATTGAACAGAGTTTGAGCATAGAAGTTTCTGGTTATCAGGGAATAATGTACAGATTATCAAGGGTGCAAAGCTTGGTTTAAGATCAGGTGGCATAAGGAATACATAATCTGCAATATCCCCGATTGGGGGTAAAAGGTTGATGGGTCAAACTACAGGCATTGAGTGGCATACAAGGATATGTGTGGTACTCCAATTGAAATTGAGGTAACTCGCTCTTTGCCTGCCAAATTGAAAATATATCTGTCTTCAGCTTCCTAGACAAACACTTGTAGTTTGAACAAACAACAAATCAGCAGAGACCCTTCCTTTAGACTGAGTTCTTCTAAGCAAGAGCTTCTAACTCAGAATCAGACTCCTGCCCTCACTTCAACCTGCATAATATGTTTTCATTGCAGAATTTACCCAGTGGATCAACATGCAAGTTTGCCTAGCTTGGGTGTGAATGGCCATGCTGCAAAGCCCTCTTGAGTTGAGTTAGCGTTGTACTCACCCGCTTGAGATGCTAAAACTTCTGGGATTATATCCCATGGTTCTTAGCACTGCAGTACACTAAGCCAGTCTGATTCTCTCTGAGTGAATTGTGGGAAAACTTGTCTGTCCTTTTGGGCACACACGGGGAATTGTGGGAAAGCACTGGATATTTATCAGCACTTGAGGGGTTCAGTGTGTATCCTCACTGCAAAGTGGGCAGATTACCAGCCTGAGTGAAAGTACCACTCTGGCTTTAGTGAATAGCCCCAGATGAGCCAGGCAGCTTGGGTGCAAAGCACAACCAAACTTGGGTCAGAGGGGTGCGTGTGTGTGTGTGTGTGTGTGTGAGAGAGAGAGAGAGAGAGAGAGAGATGGGATGGGGCAAAACCCAAGCAAGAGCCCAAGATAACTGTGCAGTGAAGATGCTCCCTGGGTCTCACCCTGCACTTTCTCTGCTTCACCCATGCTTATCTGACCACCTCCTTTCTCTCCTTTGCCTACATCTAATTTCATGTCCTCTTTCTTACCACCTCCATACATTCTCAACTAATGTTTGAGAAGTTTCTCCTTGACCCTCAAAAATATCCTGAAAACCTGCTCCATGAGGTGCTCCTGCTTTAGTCACCACTTGCTTACTCTACTTTTCTTTTGTTTTTAGACTCTTAAGGTCTTTGAGACAGGAACTTGTCATTTGTTCAGCATGCATTGCATATCATACAACACTATGTATAGGTTTAAAGAACACAGACACACAAGCCTTTGGGCATGAGCAGAGAACTGCTAACCAGCAGTGATCATTGGAGTCACAAACCCCTTACATATAGAACCCTATACAAAGCTATCAAAGAGATGGAAAGGAATAAAGGTAGGAGACCCAAGTTCAGTGCTGCGGTAGATTGGAGTCAGCTAGCAATTTTTAATTATTTTTTTTTTACTGTTTTGCACCAAATTGGGAATTAGTATTAAAGCCTTTTTTGGTAGTTTACATAGTAGTTTTTAGCTTTAGTCAAGAAACCACTCTGTGCTGAAGTTCCCTCAATACACATTTGGAATAAAAAAGAAAAACCAAAATGCTTAACCCTTGGAGCCCCACTGAAGTTTGTGTTTCATAATACCAAACTGGAGACATTTGGGCCAGAATTTAATCATTATGATGCTTTTTAAAGAATAAAAGGGTCAAGCAAACATACTGATCACCTCCATACTGCCTGCCCAATACTTCCAAGAGCAGGAAATGATTGTACTCAGAAATAGGACTGATGTGGCACTAGATGCAGTAATACACGTCTGTGTAGCTCAAAAGCTTGTACCTTCCACCAACAGAAGTTGGTTTAATAAAAGATACCATCTTACATACCTTGTTTTATTGCCGCACATAGCAAGTTTTAGAGAAAAATGCCTGTGGGGGTAAAAAACAGATTTCTGGTTTTCTAATCACATATTTCATCACTGATCTCAAATTCAAATGTTCTAAATAGTAAATATATTCCTTTTGTTTAATATAAACTTCCACTATATTTTCTGATAAAGTTGGAAAATAAAATTATGTTGATTAACCTCAAAGAGAAACATGTTTTTTGAGGTTTCTAAATTATCCTAAGAAAATCTTAATCGATTAACTGCCTGATTAAAATGTGATCAAATTTCCTAAAGGATTTTACAAAGCTACCTTTGGCACTTTGCTCAGTCATTCTGTTTGTTGATTCTTGCACATCTATTTGGATAAATGATGTTCTCTAAAGATCCCATTTCTCATTCTAACAGCATACAGTAAAGATAATTCTTGCAGAAAATCCACCTTTTCGCCATCAGACCAACACCCTGTATACACCAATGACAACCTTGAAATATGCAGATCCAAATGGAGATTTACCTATTGATACCTTCTACAAAATGGTTTTTCAGCATGATAAAATCTTCAGTGCAAGTCTTAACTTCATCAAACTGCTAAGGTGGAGAAGCAGAAAAAGCTTTGATTTGGGAAACCCTTCACAATGAATATATGTATGCTATTGTGTGCATTTGGATCACTGGTTCTAGTCACTGCTGATATACTGTTTTGAAAAATAGCTTTGCAATATAATTGATTACAAAAAGACATTTAAAATGTTTGGTTAGTGAGCTTAATTGAGGTATTAATGTTGATTAACCTTTATTTTGAACTTCAAGTTTCCAATGCTTTGAAAGTAAAATGTTTGACCTACGTCAGTTATTGTCAGTAATCTTGGCCGTATATTCTATTTCCAGAGTTGTTCCTGGTAGAAATTTATGATCACTATTTTTTCTGAACATCAACAAATCAATTATCAAACAGTTCCCTTCAGCATTTATTAGAATTAAAAAGAAAAGATACTGAGATTAGTACTCTGTGTATATCTTATTTGTAGAAAAACCTGATTTGTTAGTATTGTAAAACATATCAAATTGCTTTGCTAATGTTCTAATGATCTTTAAATCACTTAACACCTTGTTCTGTAGTTCTATACTTCTATTTAAAAGGATTAAAATAAACTACTTGTTAGAAACCTAAGAAGTGCAAGCATTTTTATAGTTTTAAAAAGTATTGAAGATACCTAAAATATGGACATTCATATTATAGTCAACTTCTATGATAGTGGTGAATGGCTTATGATTATTTCTGTGGTTTCTTAGGGAACACAAATTAATATGATCAAAATTTTCAAACCTGAGGGCCTAAAGCTAGGCTCCTAAATCCATATTTAGACATCTAGATAGAAGTGATCTGATTTTCAATGGTGCTGTGCACCTGCAGCTCCCATTGAAGTCAGTGCGAGTTACATGTGTTCAGCACCTTTGAAAATCAGAGCACTATCTAAATCAGTGGTGGACAACCTGCAGCCCGTCAGGGTAATCCACTGGCTGGCCACGAGACAGTTTGTTTACATTTGCACGGCCACCCGCAGCTCCCAGTGGCCGCGGTTCGCCGTTCCCAGCCAATGGGAGCTGTGGGAAGTGGTGGCCAACACATCCCTGTGGCCTGCACCACTTCCCACAGTTCCAATTGGCTGAGAACGGCGAACCCCGGCCACTGGGAGCTGCAGGCGGCCGTGCAAATGTAAACAAACTGTCTGGTGGCCCGCATGCAACCCGTGCGCCACAGGTTGCCCACTACTGATCTAAATGTCAAAATGTGGATTTAAGACACTGGCTTTAGGCACCCACATTTGAAAATTTCATAGGAGTTGGCTAGACATCTAAACGTCTTTAGGCTTTCAGGTTTGAAAATGTTGGCTTGTAGCTCCACTTTATTTACAGCTATATTTGAGTGTCTGGAGGATGGGTGTTTGTATGTATGTAAGTGCATAGATGTACCAGTAGCTTTGATAAGGTTCTTGGGAATAGGATTTGCTGACTGCTATATGACATGCTTGGGTTATACATAGTGGGGTTTTTTTTTAATATCTTAGCAACACAGCACTTTTTTTTTTTATATTTAGAATTCAAAGAATGTTTGTCATCAGAATAATTTTAAAGCTATGTCAAATTTTAAACTGAATGCAATAGTATTCCTTTAAATTTCATGTTGCTTTACTGAAATGGGTATGAAAAATTTGGTTTCCACATAACAGAATCAATTAATCATAACAGAATTTAAATATACAAATTACATATTTAAGATCAAGACATGCTATAACAACACTTGCTTTTCATAAGGTCCTGCTTTTTTGAAGAACTTTAACTATATAAACATTGTCAAAAACTGAACATAAGAATGGCCATACAGGGTCAGACCAATGGTCCTCCTAGCCCAGTATCTTATCTCTGACAGTGGCCAGTGCCAGATGCTTCAGAGGGAATTAACAGAATGGGGTGATTATCTACTGATCCATCCTCTGTTGTCTAGTCACAGCTTCTGGCAGTTGAAGATTTAGGGTTGCATCCCTGCCCATCTTGACTAATAGCCATTGATGGACCTGCCCTCCATGAATTTCTCTTTTTTTTTTTTTAAGCCAGTTATGCTTTTGGCCTTCACAACATCCCATGGCAACAAGTTCCACAAGGTTGTGTGAAGTAGTACTTCCTTTTGTTTTAAACCTACTGCCTATTCATTTCATGAGGTGACACCTAGTTCTTGTTTTAGGTGAAGGGATAAATAACACTTACTTTCTCCATACCATTTATGATTTTCTAGACCTCTATCATAGCCCCCCTTAGTTGCCTCTTTTCTTAGCTGAGCAGTGCCAGTCATTTTAATCTCTCCAAATGGAAGCTGCTTCACACCACTAATCATTCTCATTGCCCTTCCCTGCGCTTTTCCCAATTTTAATCTCTCTTGAGTAACTTTGTATCATCTGCAAATTTTGCCACCTTACTAGTCATCCTTTTTTTCCAGATCATTTATGAGTATGTTGAACAGCACAGGTCCCAGTATAGATAGTTGAGGGATCCTGCTATTTACCTCTCCATTGTGAAAATATTTATTCCTACCCTTTTGTTTCCTAGCTTACTTAACAGTTGCTGATTCATGAGAGGACCTTCTGTCTTATCCCATGATTGCTTAGTTTGCTTAAGAGCCTTTAGTGAGGAAGCTTGGACTTTCAGAAAGCTTTTGACAAGTACACTATAATCCACATGCTTGCTGACTCATTCAAAGAATTCTAATAGGTTGGTGAAGCATGATTTCCCTTTAAAAAAAGTCAGCCATGCTGACTTTTCCCCAACTATATCTGATAATTTTTATTATAGTTTAAACTAATTTGCCTGGTAATGAAGTAGGCTTACCACCCTGTAATTGCCAGGATCAGCTTTGGAGCCTTTTTTAAAAACGGGTATTATGCTACCTACCCTCTAGCACACAAACTAATTTAATCAGTAGGTTACATACCACAATTAGTAGCTCTATAATTTAATGTACGAGTTCCTTCAGAATTCTTGGGTTAATACCATCTGGTCCTGGTGCCTTATTACTGTTTGTTTAATCAATTTCAATCTGGAACAGTTCCTCAGATTTGTCTCCTAAAAAGAATGGCTCGGATGTCTGACTCTCCCCAATATCCTCTGCTGTGAAGACTGATGCAAAGAATTCATTTAGCTTCTCTGCAAAAGCCTCATCTTGAGCGCTCACTGACTGTTTGGCAGGCTTCCTGCTTCTGATGTCCTAAAAAAAACCAAAAAAACCAATCTGTTGTTAGTTTTTGTGTCCTTAACTAGTTGCTCTTCACATTCCTTCTTGGCCTGCCCTATTATAGTTTTACACTTGATTTACCAGTTTCTATTTTCCTCGGACTGGGCTTCTAATTTTTAAAGGCTGTATTTTTTAATCTAACTGCTTCTTTTACTCTGCTGTTTGACCATTGTTGAATTTGTTTGAGCTGGGGTATGCATTTAGTTTGAGCCACTATTATGGTGTTTTTAAAATAGCCTCCATGCAGGTTGCAGGCATTTCATCCTTGTGACTGTTCCTTTTTATTTCCATTTAACTAGCTTCCTCATTTTTGTGTAGTTCCCCTTTTTGAAGTTAAATGCTACTGTGAGGGGTTTCTTTGGCATTTCCCCCCTACAACGGTGTTAAATTTAATTACATTAATCCTATTATCTCGTGGTTCACCTATATTCACCTCTTGAACCAGATCCTGTATTTCACTTAGGACTAAATCAAGAATTCCTTCTCCCCATGTCAGTTTCAGAAAAAGCAGCTCCAAGAAATTGCTGAAATATTCTATGCTAAGTATTCTCGTACTGATGTTCACAGAATTACTTCTGACACTTGGCAAGGTTTTAGGGAAAAAACATTAAATGATTCTAGTGTACACACTCGTGTATCATATTCAGGTATGGTGACTTGCCTGCTGGTGCGAAGGTTGCAGATCTCTTGAGGCATCTAGATAGACTTGTGTGTCGTGCTGGGGAGGAGCCGGTAGTCATGGTACATGTAGGTACCAATGACATAGGGAAGGGTAGGAGAGATGTCCTGGAGGCCAAATTTAGGAAAGAGACTGAAATCCAGGACCTCTATGCTGGCATTCTCAGAAATGCTTCCAGAGTGCCTCGTGTTAAAGGAGGATATTGATAAAATAGGCATCACAGAAACCTGGTGGAGTGAGAACAATCAATGGGACACAATCATTCCAGGGTACAAAATATATTGGAAGGACAGAACAGGTCCGGGGGGGGGGGAGGGAGGGTGGCACTATATGTGAAAGAAAATGTAGAATCAAATGAAGTAAAAATCTTAAATGAATCCACATGTTCCATAGAATCTCTATGGATAGTAATTCCATGCTCTAATAAGAATATAACAGTAGGGATCTATTATTGACCACCTGACCAGGACAGTGATAGTGACTATGAAATGCTAAGGGAGATTAGAGAGGCTATCAAAATAAAGAATTCAATAATAGTGGGGGATTTCAATTATCCCCATATTGACTGGGTACATGTCACCTCAGGACGAAATGCAGAGACAAAATTTCTTGATACTTCAAATGACTGCTTCTTGGAGCAGCTGGTACAGGAACCCACAAGGGGAGAGGCAATTCTCGATTTAGTCCTGAGTGGCACGCAGGATCTGGTCCAAGAGGTAACTATAACAGGACTGCTTGGAATTAGTGACCATAATATAACAACATTTAACATTCCTGTTGTGGGAAGAACACCTCAGCAGCCCAACACTGTGGCATTTAATTTCAGAAAGGGGAACTATGCAAAAATGAGGAGGTTAGTTAAAAAGAAATTAAAAGGTACAGTAACTAGAGTGAAATCCCTGCAAGCTGCATGGACACTTTTCAAAGACACCATAATAGAGGCCCAACTTAAATGTATACTCCAAATTAAAAAACACCGTAAAAGAACTAAAAAAGAGCCACCATGGCTTAACAACCATGTAAAAGAAGCAGTGAGAGATAAAAAGGCATCTTTTAAGAAGTGGAAGTCAAATCCTAGTGAGGTAAATAGAAAGGAGCATAAACAACGCCAAATTAAGTGTAAAAATGTAATAAGAAAAGCCAAAAAGGAGTTTGAAGAACAGTTAGCCAAAGACTCAAAAGGTAGTTACAAAATGTTTTTTAAGTACATCAGAAGCAGGAAGCCTGCTAAACAACCAATGGGGCCCCTGGACAATCGAGATAAAAAAGGAGCACTTAAAGACGATAAAGTCATTGCAGAGAAACTAAATGAATTCTTTGCTTCAATCTTCATGGCTGAGGCTGTGAGGGAGATTCCCAAACCTGAGCCATCCTTTGTAGGTGACAAATCTGAGGAATTGTCACAGATTGAAATGTCAGTAGAGGAGGTTTTGGAATTAATTGATAATCTTAACAGTAACAAGTTACTGGGACCAGATGGCATTCACCCAAGAGTTCTGAAAGAACTCAAATGTGAAATTGCAGAACTATTAACTATGGTTTGTAACCTGTCCTTTAAATCAGCTTCTGTACTCAATGACTGGAAGATAGTGAATGTAACGCCAATATTTAAAAAGGGCGCTAGAGGTGATCCTGGCAATTACAGACTAGTAAGTCTAACGTCAGTACCAGGCAAATTAGTTGAAACAATAGTAAAGAATAAAATTGTCAGACACATAGAAGAACATAAATTGTTGGGCAAAAGTCAACATGGTTTCGGTAAAGGGAAATCATGTCTTACTAATCTATTAGAGTTCTTTGAAGGGGTCAACAAACATGTGAATAAGGGAGATCCAGTGGCCACAGTGTACTTAGATTTCCAGAAAGCCTTTGACAAGATCCCTCACCAAAGGCTCTTACCTATATTAAATTGTCATGGGATAAGAGGGAAGATCCTTTCATGGATTAAGAACTGGTTAAAAGACAGGGCACAAAGGGTAGGAATAAATGGTAAATTTTCAGAATGGAGAGGGGTAACTAGTGGTGTTCCCCAAGGTTCAATCCTAGGACCAATCCTATTCAACTTATTCATAAACGATCTGGAGAAAGGGGTAAACAGTGAGGTGGCAAAGTTTGCAGACGATACTAAACTGCTCAAGATAGTTAAGACCAAAGCAGACGGTGAAGAACTTCAAAAAGATCTCACAAAACTAAGTGATTGGGCAACAAAATGGCAAATGAAATGTAATGTGGCTAAATGTAAAGTAATGCCCATTGGAAAAAATAACCCCAACTATACATACAATATAATGGGGGCTAATTTAGCTACAACTAATCAGGAAAGAGATCTTGGGAGTCATTGTGGATAGTTCTCTGAAGTCGTCCATGCAGTGTGCAGCGGCAGTCAAAAAAGCAAACAGGATGTTAGGAATCATTAAAAAAGGAATAGAGAATAAGATGGAGAATATTTTATTGCCCTTATATAAATCCATGGTACGCCCACATCTTGAATATTGCATACAGATGTGGTCTCCTCATCTCAAAAAAGATATACTGGCATTAGAAAAGGTTCAGAGAAAGGCAACTAAAATGATTATGGGTTTGGAATGTGTGCCATATGAGGAGGGATTAAAGAGGCTAGGACTTTTCAGCTTGGAAAAGAGGAGACTAAGGGGGGATATGATAGAGGTATATAAAATCATGAGTGGTGTGGAGAAAGTGAATAAGGAAAAGTTATTTATTTGTTCCCATAATATAAGAACTAGGGGGCACCAAATGAAATTAATGGGCAGCAGGTTTAAAACAAATAAAAGGAAGTTCTTCTTCACACAACACAGTCAACTTATGGAACTCCTTGCCTGAGGAGGTTGTGAAGGCTAGGACTATAACCAGGTTTAAAAGAGAACTAGATAGATTCATGGAGGTTAAGTCCATTAATGGTTATTAGCCAGGATGGGTAAGGAATAGTGTCCCTAGTCTCTGTTTGTTTGCCAGAGGGTGGAGATGGATGGCAGGAGAGAGATCACTTGATCATTACCTGTTAAGTTCACTCCCTCTGGGGCACCTGGCATTGGCCACTGTCAGCAGACAGGATACTGGGCTGGACTGACCTTTGGTCTGACCCAGTATGGCCATTCTTATGTTCTTCTTATTCTGGGGAGAGGTCTGAATTTTATTTGTAATTATGGTTTTTACCCAGCCTATATGTTTAGGACTAAGTACTCCTCCTAAATCCACAGTTCTCCTATGGATGTCAATGGGTAGTTTTCATAGTGCTCATGAGGGGAATGTGGTCTTTATCTAATAACTGAACTTATTTATTCTGTACCTAATTATTACATTCAGCATCATTCAGTGGAGCAAATATGTTCATCTTGGAGGCCACTATTACTTCTGCCCTTCATTTCTTTCTTCCCCATCTTCATTTTTGTTTCTTTCCCCCTTTAATGTTTTTGTGTCTCTCTGTTTTTTCTTAATTTCCTTTCCTCCAACAACTCCTGGTTCCCAACACCTGTTGGAGGGTGGGAGATGTCTGGAATAGATTCCCTACCTCTATGTGACCATGCTGCTACTTCTGTGAAATACATGGGAGGAAAAAAAAAAGTGTCACTTTGTCCACTAGATGCTCCTATTACTAGATTGCTCAATAAAATGCAACAAAGAGATCCAGAAGTTGCCATCTTATTCGGCTTTCTAAAGTCAACATATCATTTGTCTGACGTAGAATACTGTGCAACTTGATGGCTAAAAATTGTCTTAAAGAGGGTCAAACTGTATTAACAGTGACTGAAAAGTTTTATAAAGACAACTGCAAAATGTCTCAGAAATGCATTTTGAAATCTAGGTTTACTGTAGTACCTGCTGATGAATCCACCAACAGGTCTGCAGTTAAAGGCTTGTTACCTGGGAAGTCATTCCAGAATAGTCATTCCTGATTAACTATTTCTAAGCAATACATCAGATATTACAGGGTGGGAAACTCTCTATTTGCTGAAATAGTAGACCTAAAATACGGAATTGCTGATGGTATCACATTGAGGATAAAAATAAATGTTGGAGCTATGGGACTAAAAGCAGAACTCCAATTAAACCACTAGGTTAAATTGAGATTGTGTAGCATTGTGGGTTAGTCAAATTGCCCAAACTTAGACATGGAATACTGCATGCTGCATCAAACTACAACCTTGAAACTACTAACATAGATATCAAAATAGGTTATTCTTATTTTTAAGAGGATTGAATTTATTTTGAAAGGCATTTTTCATTGTAAGTCCTGAAAAACTATAGTAATATCAAGCTCTTGCTGATGCCTATAAAGTACCGGGAGAAGCAAACTATTCTGAAGGTATTGACCGTGCACACCAGTCTCCTAGTCAGGTCACAACACTGAATGCAAGGGAAACAAATTATCACGCCTTGTCATCTATTGGGGATGCACTGCAGACAGTGAAGTAGGGCCTGCTGTAGCCCGAGCTAGGGGCACTGTTAACGAGTAAAGATGTGCCCACACTGGGGAAAAAGATGTGTTTTAGCACGTGTCAGCTCACATGGAAGTGGTAACAACCAGTACAATCCGCATGCAGACAAGGCAGTGGTAGTTCCTGCTCATGTGTGTTAAACTACCCCCGCCTGGTCCACAGGGGCCTTCACCACGTCTTGTCCACCACATTAAAACCCACCTTTTCTGCTAGAGAAGAAAGGCCCCAGAGGTAACACAGGGCGCCCCCCCCGGGCAGGCCCCGCTGCCTGGGCTGCGTACACAGCAGCGCCACGAGGCTAGTGAACACGCGGATCCAGCCTTGCCCCTTTGCTCCGGCGCCGTCCGCCCGGTGCTGCCTCACTTCAGATTCCGAAGCCCGGCTGGGCGGGGGGAGCGCGGGGTGTGCGTGCCCCAGGGTGGGCGCGGGGCTGGTGCCAGAGCTCTTTCCGGGGAATGGGGTCCCGGAAGCGGAAGTGTCAGAGGACGGCTTCCGGCGGAAGTGGCGCTGGTCGTTGGTTGTGCTCCTTGCTGGCTCGTTTCCCCCTCCCGGCCGCTCTCGGTTCTGAGGGAACGGCCGCCGCTGGGCGAGTGCAGAGCCGGAGCCGAGCCGAGCTGTGCGCGGGCTTTTCGGACGGCTTCCTGCGGCTCCCGTTCACAAGGCGGCGGCCAGCATGGCACGACTACCCGGCGGCGGCGCGTGAAGGATGTGGCGGAGGCTGTAGCCGAGGGAGCCCTGAACTCCGGGCAGCGCCTCCCACGGCTGCTCCCAAGCTCCTGGCACCGGCTCTGGGGAGCTGGCAGCGGGCCCCGCGCCGGCCCCCGCTAGCGCTCTCCCGCCTTCGGGCGTGAATCTGATCCCTCCCTTTCTCCCCCAGCGCGCGGTCCCCTCAGCACCCGCCCCGCACCCAGCGTCCTCCAGCCCGCAGACTCACAGCACCTGCTCTCATCCCCTGCTTGGTACCTGCCCCGGCAACACCGCCCCGGGTCTCTCTGAGCGGCGGGTCTCTGGTGCCCTGTGTGTCTTGCTCTGGATTTGAAGATCTGAGTTCAAAGAGTCTCGGAGAGTGAGTGTGAAATATAATGGCTTCGTCGTCTGGAAATGACGACGACCTCACCATCCCTAGAGCTGCTATTAACAAGATGATCAAAGAAACTCTCCCCAATGTCCGGGTGGCTAATGATGCCCGGGAGCTGGTGGTGAACTGCTGCACTGAATTCATTCACCTCATCTCCTCGGAGGCCAACGAGATCTGTAACAAGTCTGAGAAGAAAACCATCTCCCCAGAGCATGTCATACAAGGTGAGTGCCTCGAGGGCAGTCATCTGGTAGATGACAGACCATGTCGTTTAATGCAGTGTTGTTGTAGCCATGTCGGTCTCGGGATAATAGAGAAACAGGGTGGGTGAGGTAATATTTTTTTAGTTGGCTAACTGCTGTTGGTGAGAGAGGCAAGCTTTCCAACAACAAAGAGCTCTTCTTTAGGTCTATGACCCTAAAATTTATTTCTCTAAAAGTACTGGCAGAAAAAGTCAATATTTTTAAGAACATGAGTAAGATTATTTGTTGCCTTGCATTGCAAGAGGGAGGCTACTTTTGTGGTGAAGGGGGCAGGAGTTTTCAGTTCCTGCCCTTGTTCTCTTCCTGTGTGACTTTGGGTGAGTCACTTATATTTCTGTGCTTCAGTTTCCATACCTGTGAAATGAGGATTATCTCTCAGGGTGGTTGTGCAGATTACTTCCCTGTTTCTTACAGAAATAAAATAAAATACTAAGCACTTGCAAACGAGAGGCTGATACTCTGTATAAGATGGGGATGGGAGGTGGGCTTTATGAGAGAGTTCCAGGCTTTTGCCCCTGATGATAAACCAATCCCCTAGCTGATGTAAGAAGAAAGGTACTGGGATTCCTACCAAACTGTTCCTGGACTTGCTTTGTGGCTTCATCTTTTGTATCAGTTTTGGTGTAATAGGTGTGTACACTTAAAAATATGCCATTGCACCCTATTCTGGCTGTTGGCTCCCACCTTCTGTGGCTGCTTGATGGAAAAGTTTTCTGGTTCTTTTTTTGTTCTCTCTCGAATCTTGGAGCCTCCTGATTTTGGTGAGTATCTGCTATTCTAGGTCTCTCCAGCCTTCTTTTTTGTGACTAGAACCAGTGCCTGACACTGCTGCTCATAATTTTCTCAAGCAGTAACAGAATGAAACTAATGACTTGGGTTACTTCCACAGCTGCTTCTGAAAGCCACATGGGCTGCTCCTATCAAGAATCATGTTCATTTTTCTCAGATACTTGAGAAAGCTGCCACAATTCTTGACAGTTTCATTGCTGCCCACAAAGTTGTGAATTAAGGTAGTAGTGAAAGTGATCAGAGTTTTAGTTTTACTCAGCTGCTTGGCAAGTCAGTGAATAGCAGCATAAGAAGTAGAACTTCAGGCTCAGGAAAACAATCCAGCATTAGTCTGTATCAGTTCACATGGAAAGTTGTTTTTGAAACTATAAGTACTAAATGCTCAATTAATTAGATTCTGCAGACTCTGATGAGGTATGCTAACTCCGCTCACCAGAAAAAGTTTCCTATTTGCTATATATAAGTGGATTTTTCAAGCTCTGGTTATGATGACTTATAATAAAGAGCAGTATAAGAAAATATGAACCATATGTAAACTTTTGTTATAGTTAACATTTTAAGAAAATGGTGCCTTACAGTAAAATTGATTCTTAAAAATCCTCTCAAAAGTGAAATGATTACCACAGACAAACTGTATCTGTCATGTGTTGTCTACTAACAAATATTTTGTCAAGTTATAATTGCTAGTATGTTCAAAGTTCTAAATTTTGATATAAAGCTCTTCTTGAATTCCAGGTTGTCAGTGTTAATCAAATTTTGTTAAATAAATGTTGATGTTTATCCATTTATATGGTCAAATGTGGTAAGAAGGATGTTACTGTCATAAAATTTTATATTCTGCGTCTACCTTCATTGCTATCCTTATTATCCTTCAGAAATACATAGGTTAGGAAGGAATTAGTACCATATCAGGTGATTCCTTGAAGCATGAGGGTTAATATCACTATTTTAAAGAAAATTATTTAAGATTTATGTGGTGCATATAATTTAAATATTTCTATCCCATTCTGTATTCTAAAACTTAGTTTGCTTTTTTTTGACTACTATCTTTAAGTTGTCTACAATGGCTTTGTCAAAAGCTTCCTGAAAGTTCAAATACATTTCAGTAAGTTCTCCTTTGCCCACTATTTTATCAATATACTAAAGGAAATATTTCTTTGATATGCTCAATTTTTTAGTAAGTAAGCTGCAGTTTGCTCTTTCTGTCATATTCATCTAGATTTTTATAATTATCACTTAAATCAATTTATTTGGAACTTAAATGAGGCTTACTGGTTGGGTATTCCCAGGATCGCCCCTACTTGTTTAAAATTTGCTACTCTCCAGAACACCAGTATAGTAGCTAATCTTAATGAGAGATTACATCTTTTTATTGGCAGCTCAGTCCATTCTTACATTCTTTCAGAGATCATGGTCCATACTATATGGCTCTTGTTTCTGAACTATCTTTATCTTCTTGTTCCTGCACTACCTTTTTTTGACACATCAGTATGTCAGTTGAATACCTGAAAAGAGTAGGTCTAGGGTAGGTATCACCAACATCCTTTGTGGGAAAAATTGGAAAAAATAAATAATTTAGTGTCTCTGCTTTTTTTAAATTCGAATTGCTATACGGTATTTTAGAAGATCACCATTTCTTCTGTAACCTTTCTGGTTCATATATATGTAAAGAATTCCTGTACCTTTTTTTTATGACTTTGACTATTTGCTCTTCAAAATCCCTTATACTTTACTAATTTTCCCTGCCATGGTTCATGCTTTCTTTCTGTTGGCTTTGCTGGGGTTAGATTTGCATTTTCTGAAAGATACCTATTTGGTTCAAGTAACATCTTGTGCATTGCCATCTTGTAATTGAACTATTTTTTTGTTTAGGTCCTTTCTGTTTAGATGCCCATGACTTTGTTATGGTATGTTTTAAGTGGCCTCCATTGAGTCTAAGGAGTCTAATGTATTTACTTTCGATTTTAATGTCTTTTTTAATTAGTTTCCTCCTCTTTTTGAAGTCTCCTTTCTGAAGTTTAATGGAACACTACTAGCTTTTGGTATGATTCCTTGCCCACAGCAAATTTAATCTGTTTCTTTCAATTAATGGAAGTTCTGATTTAGTTTTTAAAGCAAGATCCTGCAACTGCAGCGGTTCTCAAACTGTGGGTCGGGACCCCAAATTGGGTCGGGACCTCATTTTAATGGGGTCACCAGGGCTGGCGCCTGGGATTGAAGCCTGAGCCCCACCACGCAGGGCTTCAGCCCTGGGCAGTGGGGCTCAGGTTACAGGCCCTCTGCTTGGGGCTGAAGCCCTTGGGCTTTGTCCCCCGGCCCGGGGCGGTGGGGCTCAGTTGGGCTCGGGCTTTAGTCCCCCGGCCCCTGGAGTCATGTAGTAATTTTTGATCCCTGTTGTTGCTCAGAGCCCCACTGAAGTCAATGGCAGATGTGCTATTTGCTTTACATGCTATTGTACTCAATATTGACAGTATAATCTCTCTTAATTTCAGTATGCTGTGGTAAAATATAGTTGTTTTGTTGAATAACAGGATACATTTAAAAGTATTCAAGTCTCTACCTAGCCTAGAAAAAAACACTTATTTGGAAGATTTCATTGTTGTATTTCTTATTCTAAATAATGCATTGCATAAGTAGTATGTAAAATGAAAGCCCACACATGATGATGTATTCCTTATTGTATTTCTTTAGATTTAATAAAATACTTAAGACTGAAACGTTCTGTACATTGATTAAAATACAAAATATTTAATATTTTTAAAATAAAATACAAACTTTCAAACAGGCACTATGCACAAGGTACCTTGTATTATCACGTATCCTACCCATTACATAATACAACTGTAAAAATAAAAACCACCATAAAGAATACGGCTCCACAACTAAATTGCCTCAGATCCAAACTGGTCAAAATTGATGCTGAGACTCTCAAACTCACTCTTCTGAAAGAGTTCTTTCAACGTGCAGAAACAGAAAAGACTAAGAGTGAACCTTTTACATAGACTATCTCTAATCAACAGCAAGATCCCAGGGTTGATTCTGAGACATCTTACCCCTCTAGTTGGCAGAGCAATTCAATTGTATCTGTGGAGCAGAGGCCAAACTTAAAGGCCACAGGGGACGAGAGTTAGTTATCAGTTTTCTGAACAGGTAGAGTACCAGTAATGAGCTCTTTACGAGGCTTTTTTGTATAATTCAATAAAATGAGTCACCTGACAAATCTTTGAAGGGGA